TTTTTTTTTTTTTTTTTTTTTTTGGAATTTACGCATAAAAGTCAAACATACATCGCACTTTGAATGCACAACATCGCGTAATTGTAGTTATAATTACGTAAATACCGTGAAAGCGTACCATCAAAAAGTGAAAAAAAAAAAAAACGAAAAAGAAAATTTGCTTCACAAGTAATTTTGTAACTTGACGATTGCATCTCGTTGCAAAAATTTCGAGGATTTCTCGATTTTCGTGTCAATTTGACGATAAATCGCCGGCTGAATTAAGTCTCGCTGGAATGGCACGTATTCACGAAACGTGTGTGTGAAAATAAACAATAATATCCAGGACAACAGAGAGACTTGTGGAATTTATGGCGCGCCGTCGTCTTCGAGAGAGAGAGAGAGAGAGAGAAATACTCCTAGAACGTCGTTCGTATGCTTTATGCTCTGTTCGGCACAATGATGGGAACCAAGCCCACGTACTTCTACGGCTCGCAGGATTCATTTGAACCAGTGGCAAATTTTTTCTTTTTTTTTTTGCACTTAGGTCGCTTTTTAAGTGAAAATGGAACGATTTCGTTGCAGCACGAGCTGCATTTGTCTCGTGAAAACGGTAGTGAAATATAATTCATCTTCCTTTCCCACCCTTCAAACTTGCCTTTCGTTCACTCTTCAGTTCGTTCTTGGTAGAAAACTCGTTCTTGGAAAATTTTCGTCTTCGATTCAGTGCAATTTCGATGAACTCGATTCTGCCAAGTCGGACAGAAAGTCGGAGGAACAGTCAGTTGGGCATATTTTATTCGAATAATGAATAAAATACTGTCAAATTTATTCGTAAATAACGAATAACGACTTTATTCGAGGAAAAATTCTACGAATAACGATTTCGAATTAAATTTCCTTCGAATAAATTCTTCGAAGAAAATTTTATTCGAAGATTTATACGAAGAAAATTTTCTTCGAAGAATTTATTCGAAATGTTATTCGAAGAAAATTTTATTCGAACAATGCTCAACTCTGGAGGAACATCGATTAGAGGAGCAAGCGGTAACGGGGAACCGATCGATGGAACAACAAGGGTAGAAAGTATGGAAATCATCGGTACTGGGAGATTGTCGATACTGTACTCGTACAATTCGACCCGTATCCGCCAACAAATTCCCACACTCGCCCGCTAGAGAGATCCAAGTGTGAAATTACGTTTCAGAGTCGAGCAAATCTCCGTGCGAGTTGCATGCTTTGTTGTACACGGTGTCCATAAAGTCTCTTTGCAATTTCAAAAATTTATTACGAAGGCAAATGAAGAGACAGATAGGTGAAAATTATTACAAAATGAGACGTATATATTTAAATTTTTTTCTCCCTTTTATTAATACACCTCTATATGGGCACCATTAGCACTAAAGCAGATGATCACTGATGTCATTGATGAGAGTATGGTACAGCGAACGTGGCTAGAAATCGAGTACCGTACTTGATGTACTTCGTGCAATTAATAGTGCCCATATAGAAGTGTATTGAATAAGGCAGAAACAACTTAAATACACACGTCTCATTTTGTAATAATTTCCACTTATCTGTCTCTTCATTTGCCTTTGTAACAAATTTTTGAAATTGTAAAGAGTCTTTATAGACACCCTATAATATAAACCGAATAGCGCTTTGCACGAATATATACATATATACATACGCGATATATATACATTCCACGAGAGACACAGAGGGTGTGGTAGAGCGATAATGGTCCAGTTAACTGACGTATATGTACGTACTCCATTTAATATCAGCGATATCTTCTCACACCGCTTCTCTTCCGAAAGGTGGTAAAGGAAAGGTCGCCGCTCCGCGCCGCGGCGTGTAGGTGCACCTGTGCGGTTGGCACGCCTGCTGGAAGGCTGCGCCGCTCTCGGTCCACGCCAACAATAGCCGCCTCTCTTTTATTTCGGCCGATGAAGAGATTAATAACGTTTCACGAGGAGAAAGTATTCGTCGGGGGAGGAGGGATCGATTCACCGGGCCTCGAGGTCATCAGGGGTTATTTAAGTCGAAATACCACGAGGAAGTGGCCTCCACGACTCGCGAGGAAGAGACCTCGCGTCTCTCTCGTGATCAACCAACATGCCACTTGAGAATCTTCGCGCAGGATCATTGTGCAACGCTCGATACACACACTGTTGTGTGCATGCTCGATCGTCTTGCCCACGCTTTCCTACGGGGTTATTCGATCCCTTTACGAGTTCTCTTCAGTCAGAATTCCAATCTTCATTCCAATTTAATTAAGAAACTAGAAGATACGTGACTGATTCAAGTCTACTGATTCTCCTCCCTGTTAGTGATTTTTCGTTCACGTAGGAGCTTGTTCAATCGGTATATAAAATGGAGTTTTGTATGTGCAAATTCTACTCTGCAGTCTCGCGAACATTTGTATGAGTATAGGTACATACGTGTCGTATGTTCATAGTCTCTTCGGTCGAAAATGGCAAAAGTTTCGATCAGAAAAGACACGTCCCATTCATCCCGCAAATTCCATTCCCCCAAATACCTACATATACCTCAACCAACAACGGCTGTCGCGTTGACCGACGCGAAGCTGGAAACACGCCGCAAGTAAGTGAAACTTACTGTCGTGCCGAAAATAACGCGAGACCCTTGGAAAAAGATGGCCTTTTCGAGTAAGACCGGCGCGAAAAGTGGGGCGCAATTTTTGCACGTGTGCACGGCGTGGTACACGTACCCGGCAGAGAAACAGATACGTGTTTACAGAATGGGAAGAAGGGAAAGGAAGAAGAGAAGGTGGCCACGCGGGAGTGAGAGTACCCCGAGGGAGGAAGGATGCTCGCCATCACCAGAAGGGAATTGCACCAGGTGGAGAAAGAGGGAGTGAGATCCATTGCATGAAGACAGAGAGGGAACGAGAAACGAGCAAAAGAGAGAGAGAAGGGGAAAGAGAAAGAGAGAGTTGACGAGAGAGGACTGGAGAGGGAAAGGATAGGTGAAAAAAAAAGGTGAAGAGAGGGAGTCAGGTTAGCAGTGGATGGGCATTCGACGTCTGAGCTGCACACGGCTACCTAGCGATTCACAGAAGACCGGCTACCTTCGTACGAACCGGTTGTGGTCGATAACCCGACGTCTCCGCGTGGAACGTTTGTGAACATACATACGCGAGTACTGTGCCACCGTTGGATGGGACCGAGCCGAAATCTTTGGGACCGTTTGGCATTGCTGATCACACTGTCGTGGTGAGATCGTTTGAAAGTGAGGAACGATCGTCGTCGAGTTGCAAGTGTTTTAAAGGAGGGGGAAAAAAAAAAAAAGAAAAAAGACAAGTGGAAGTTGCAGTTCGAAGGATCGAGACTCTGGAGCTGGAAGGATGAGCGGGCCTAGCGTGGATGTCGTCTGGGATCCACAGATGCAAATGAATCCCTTGGATTGTTGGGATTATTCCATTGAATTGTCGTGTCTTCAAAGTCCAGAAACTATAGCAAAAGGTACATCAAAATGAGAGAGACTTTGCCGCTGTTCGCTTGTGGTGTAGATTGTTTTTTTCGGGATAGTGATCGTGTGTTGGAGCGTTTGCGCAAATTGAGCTGAAATGGTTTTGACGAAAGAAATTTATAGTAATGTGGTAGATGACGGAGAGACTGGTATTTATACTTGATGCCAGGATCAGTTACCATCGAACAATATCCTAGATTGTGAGATTTGAAACGACGTATTTTACATTAGTTAATTTCACGACCTCGTGTATAATTGTATCATTACAATCATTTAAACGAGAATATAAACTCGGATATATTAAAAATCATGCTAGTAATATAAAAAAAATAGAATATTAAAAATTTTTCCTAATATCCGCATTTTTTTAATATTTCAGTGAATAAATATATCTGTTAGTAATACATATAACAAACTATATTTCTGAATAAAATAGAAATAATTCAACTGGGATTCTAAAATATTTATTATAAGATAAAACGTGATAAAAGATATCGTATCAATAACAGTGTTGACAGAATGTACAATGCGCATCTCTTCTTTTAAAGTGATATCCATTTACATTATACATATATTCATAAACTACATACTTGATCCTTAGAGAAAAGGTTGGAACGAATTGTTACTCTATTAATTATTGTTAATCCGCAATGTAAATCGTTACCAGATAAATAATTTCATGTTGGAAATATTAATGATTAATACTGTATCTTCCAAATATGAATTACATAGTCATCACATAAATAATTTACAATATTATTCTAATTAGAATAAAATATTGTTAAAGTAATATTAAAAAGTATAATAAAATCTATGTCATGTTATAAAATATCATTAAAGGTAAACTCATGAACGTGTAAGTGTAATAATTACGCAAAATGACAAGGCAGAATAAACAATAAGTTCTGTCACATAAATAGCTACGGGCTACAATTATCGTCGTGAGATTTTCCATTGCGTGCGAATTAGGAAAAAGGGAAGGGGAATGGATGTTTATCGTTGCGCGTTGTTCAACTGAGTCGGAAAACACTAATGACAGTGAGGGATGGGAAGAAGAAAACGGTAATTTTCGTTTTCTCACTACTCTGTGAAGGTCCTTAGCCCTAGCTATAAAATACAGTCTGTTCCGTGGCTCTAAAGCTGGAATTCAGAGGTATTTGTAGCTATACAATCTAGAAGCAAATTTACATGCGATTTTCAAGCTACGTCCAGTCAAAACAAAAAAACCTCTGACGCATACGTCGAAACGCAATATTTGAAAATCGCGCTGGACGCATGCGCGTCAGATATATGCGCGTTAAACGCTTGCGCATCAAACGCATGCGCAGTTTGAACGCTGCGCAGTAGATGTGCGCGCGTCAAATCCGTTGAAACCGATACAATGGAAGAGCTTGATGTTGTTACTTTTCTATATCTTACACAATTTTCAAACTTTTTCCGGTAAAAAGATCTTTGACGCGTGGAGATGTGTGTCCAATACTTAAGGAAATTCCAACCTAATCTTAAAACTACCGACGACCGAAGTAAAAAAATCCATCAAAGACATTAAAGTGAAAAAATAGAAAAACCTTTATGGTAACAATATATATATATATATATATATATTTTATAAAAACTCGTTTAAGTCTCTAAAAATACACTGTTCCGCATCTACAAAATTTCTAACAAAAATGATAAATTAATCATTTTTTAGACCAGTAGTTCTACTGTGTTGAGGCTCCTGCCTGGAGGCCGTCAGTTTCAGGATAGAGGAAATGCAACGAACCGAGGCGTTCACCGTCAAGTTCAACTGTTTGGAACATCCTCGAGTTTTATCGTTTCAAATCATTCGAGACTCTCTAGGCCCGATCCTTTGTCACGCGATCGTTTCATCGTCGTTAACGAGAGAGAGGCTGATAATCAGACAGATGTTAAACCGTAGATCGGATCGCGTTCAAACCTGTTACATATAATTAATATACACCTAAATTAACGAATCGACATTTCGCACGCGCGCGTTACCACTTTTATTTACGTTATGCTTTTGCTACGAAAGAAACTGACAAGCCTGATATTTCAAAATTGCTGTTTTTTATATTATACTATTATATAATATATATTACATAATATATATAATATAATGTAAAATTATATTACAATATATATTATTTTATATTATATTATTATATAATATATATTACATAATATATATAATATAATATAGAATTATATTACAATATATATTATTTTATATTATATTATTATATAATACATATTACATAATATATATATAATATAATATAAAATTATAATATATATTTTATATTATATTATTATACAATTATACAATAATAAATATAAATTTTATATTATATTAATATACAATATATATTATTTTATATTATATTATTATAATATATAATAATATATATTATATTATATTGCTGTTTTTTATATTAATTTACATATTGCTATTTCAAATGATTTGAAATTCTACAATTATTATTACCATAGAACGTAATTGCGACACGCGGTCGAAAGCTTGATGGGAAAGGATTTTCACGGGCAACGAAGTTAATTGTTTATTGATGTTAGTCGCTCGCAACTGTTCAAATGAATTAACATACCGGGATATTCCGGCAGGTTAGAAGAAGAAACGAATGTCTTTTTAATGACCGTGGGAGTATTAAACGGGACGTATGGAGGATAATGTTTAATGGATATGGGAGAAATTTTCCGGATACTCCAGTGCTTAACCAGTCATTCTATTTAAACGTGCGATAATCTACACGTAGATTTGTATAATTACAGCTGGGAAAACTCTACGTTTTTTTTTTTTTTTTTTTTCTTTCTTAAATTTCTAGTATTATTAAAAAACGATTAGCCTCGAAGTGTCGTATCTGTTTTCTCTTTTCATCTGTTATCTTTTGTACGAAGGAGCTGAAGATACGTTTCTGAAGAAATTTAATAATGTACTCGATATTATTGCAGTATTGCCTATGCAGTTTCAAATGAATGCACAAAAATTCGCGGTACACTCATAGTCGAGGAATTTTTTACGCAAAGTTTTTTCCAGAAGAATGAAAATCCCTAATCAATTATGACCTTACGATTTCAGACTTGCAATTGGCGGCGGAACTTGGCAAAACACTTTTGGAACGGAACAAGGAATTAGAGAACATTATCAAAACGCATCAGTCCACCGTCGAGGAACAAGCGCAAGAGATAGAGGTAAACCTCTCACCGGTTTTACAATGTATTTTCAAATATTTATGCTAATCGCGACAGTCGTTATACTCACGTTGAGATATAAATCTGCAGTATATGAAAAAACAAACAGCCGCATTGAGGGAGGTAAATGATTCGCGATTGAAGATTTATGAACAACTGGAAGTCAGTATCCAGGATTTGGAACGTGCAAATCACCGTCTTGTAATTGAGAACACCAGTGATAAAAAACTAATCAAGAGGTATGATAATTTACTGTTATTCAGTATGTTTTGCATTCGTGCACATTTGTGTTTGAAGAAATTCACCCTTTTTTTTTTTTTTTTTTTATAAATCAGTGATTCCGCACAAAAATTAACTAACATTCGAAATATATTGTAATAATTACATGTAAATATATAGTAATTTTTAATCCTTTTCATTTCTTTGTGTATTGTATACGTCTAATGCCAATTTGTGATGTAATCGTATGTTACATGTCATTAATCTTTAACTTGTGTAAGTCAATGTTAATAATATATGTAATATGCACCAGTTGTTCCATTTTGTCACGTAATTAATCAATACTTCTTGTAATTTGTTAACAGTCAATGTTTAACTGTCGAGAGTTTGGAAGCTCGGTGCGAGGAACTGCAAAGGAAAATCGACGAGATAAACGAGCAACATGAAAGTCTGCTTCGGCAACAAACTGCGAGTCAATCGACGAACACCGCACAAACACAAACCTTTCTATGGAAAGTACCGGGCACGCAGGGTGGCAGCATACAACAGGTTATTAATATTCATAGAATTCATTTTGCATGATCTTAGATTCGTTTCGATAATTATCGGTTATTCCGTATTTACTGCTGAATTGTAAAAACGGTAAGAATCTCAATTTCATCGTTATTCAATTTCCCGATGAAATTTCTATTCCATTTAACTGAACGTTTCTTAGCGATACTCTCTCACTTTGTTTCAAAAAAACAAAAAAAAAAAAACAATGTTTCTATTACAGAAACATACCATGGTGCTCTTGACTAATTTTTTTATTTTATTTTTTTAAGAAAATATTTTTTTATCCTATAAAATATTTCTACCAACCACGAGTGAGTTTGCATTTAGGAAGAAATTGCAATAGTAAGGAAAATTGTCAAATTGCAGTGACAAAATTGCAGTGAAAAATTTTTATTGGCTGAAAAATTGGCCAATTTTTATTCGAAGTATATTGTATTCTTTTTATTAAATTGGAGAAAATGGTTGAAAAATATACGTTCGTACATGCACACGCGACTATGATACGCGTTACGTTACATAGTCACGAGTTACGAGTTACGAAAGTTACGGTATACATCAGATATACGATATACGAAAATCATCAGCACATTAACACATACGACAACCAACGTATTCAAGATGCAGCCGCGAGCTATTAACTTATTCACGCAAAACAATGAAAAATAATGTGCAGCGTGAAATATGTATAATTAAGCAACAAAGTAATGAAAACGAGGGGTAATTTTTAACGGACTGGATTGATGTTATTTAACATTTTTTTTTATACTATCTATAAAAAGAATCGTGAAGCGTTCAGCTTGTTAAAAATAGCATAAAGAATAAATGCCAGTGCTCTGTTGCGTAAACTCATTTAAAATCTGTCATAAATTAACAAAGACAACACACGCAGATATCATTGAAAGTTATTTGTCAACACTTGAAACGTGAAAATATTTTTCAGAGCGCTGCCCCATCTGGCCAAAAATCTTTCCAGGAATCGACCACGGACTCGAACGTTCGGCAACTTCATTCGACAATTCCAACAAACGACGAGGAAATGACCGAATTACTGAGACAATTACAGGAGGCACGAAGTCAAAGAGCAAGAGAGCAAAAGAAAGTCGCCGAGCTTGGGCAACAGTTAGCTACTTTATTGCAAGAAAATAATGCATTAGAAGAACAATTAAACGTATTGCGTAGTAAAGCACAAGATGTAAAGAATCTTCAAGAGGAAATAAACACACTCGAGGAAGTTAGGTGAGTGTTATTGGAAGCTGTATTATCGTTGGAAATTGTAATGTTATTGAAAATGATAAAATATTTCCAATATCTATAAATCTTTCATATAATTTCTTTTCTCTGTACTTTCGTATTTTAATACTTTACTTAATACGCTCTATATAAATTATTTTTATGTTCAGCCAAGTATTTTGTCTATTAATTTTCTTTTTATTATAAAGAATGTAATTATTTTTAATAATACACCGAGGTGAAATTTGTGTGTTAAGGAGTTGAGTATTGTTATTTACTTGAAGATTTATCTAAGAAATTTTGTTGAAATTTGCATAGACGAGGTCAATTGTGTGGCCGATGTTTACGTGGAATGGAGTCTAAAACGCATGACGAACTCTCTGTAATGTTGAACCAAGAAGAATACGATGACATTAGCATGGCTGAATCGCTCATAAATGATAGCCAACAGGACACCGAATCTGTTACTCAGGTAACTGTTCTTTTATGTTCATTTGTGTGTGATGCTTGCTCTATCAAGCAACTATCAATCTATTGTGTGCATGAAATGTCTTCTCCTCTTCGCTTTCTGACTTTGCTTTAATTACATTATCTTACTTCTTTTTTTTTTCTTAGCGATATTTATTTCATACATTTTTGTATGTTTTGCAAATAATATATTACTCAAATAATACAATATGATTTGAGCAAAGTATGCAGACATTAAACCATGATCCTGATAGTGACGAACGGAAATATTGGTACGGGCTAGCTTCTCTTCTGAAGAATTCTGTAAAAATTCGTAGAGAATAAAATTCTTGTAAAAGACTGCAGTATTTCTACAGTATTTTACAGGAAAGTCTGGCCTGTGCCAATAATTTTATTCCTCGCTGTTTTATACCCAAGATGTACAAGTTTTTCCAAAGTTGGACAAGTAGAGTCGAAAGTAATTTAATTTTATTTGCTTTAGGAAACACTCTCGGCAAAGATTATGAAATCCGAGGCAAAAAAAGAGAATAGAGTATTTCATATGCTGTGGACAACTTTCGCGTATATATGGAAAACACCGGCGATAATTTTTATTTTCTTTCATACGATTTCGTACATAAAGAACGAGTGTGTTGTACCGTTGTTAATGAAACCGTTTCGGATACCAATTTTCATTTTAAAAAAAGTTTTGTCACTAGGGAGTCGCAGAAAGCTGCATTAAAACGCGTAATAATTATAAAACGCTATATAATTGAGAGTTAGAGAGACTTGCATTTCACTTGTCGCATGACGCATTATCAAAACATATCTACTTGCAATCTATTTAATAAATATAACATTTTTCGCCGAAAATGATGAACTTCATATTTTGAATTTTTTAAAAAATTCAAATATTAATATTCAATATGAATGTAAATATAATTATTAACTTTATTATCATTCAATTTGAATGTTAATATTCAAAGCATATGATCAATGCTTAAATTTTCTTATTTAAAACAAAATTTTCTTATACAAAAGTTTGACCTTACATATCTGTAAGAAATATATCGAATTGTTAAGACGTTTTAGTTAGAAATTTCAAGCAAATTTTATCTTTCATTGAATAATGGTTAGTATAGTATTCATCTTTATACTAGCAACTATTGTAATTATGCATATGTTACATTTAATTCATAGCTTTTTTTTTGTAATGGTAGTTTAGAAATTTTATTTTGGAGATCTTTACGATTCAGATTGGTTCCTAATTTTTGTACCATAATTTGATGAATTTCCGAAATGGAATAGTTGGACGCGCGTTATTATGAACATTTTCAACAAAGTTTGTTAAGAAACTGGTGTAGGCACAACGAAAACTATAACTGAGCACTTACATTATCAAGAATGTAACTTATAACGATTTTAAATAACGTAAGTTGACAAAGATAGTAACCTATTAAATTAGAATACCACGATGACTGTTCGTATAATATCGACGACAGAAAAATGGCACGTACTAATGAGAAAAATGTTTTTTTGCATGTTTCTATTAACAAATGAGGGAACTAGTGATATCCCCAAAATCTATCGACATTTATTTATTACATATCATTGAAAGAGAACATGATTACATATCAATTTCCAAAGAACAAAAAAAGGCTGTGTTGAATTTAACGAATTTATTAATTTTTAAATGGCTATCAAGTTATTCCCACGTGTAATTATGGTGTAAAATTTTGAATAGATCGGATTTGATGTGATGCTGCTTAAATTTCTTTTTCTTTTCTCTTTGTTTCTTTGTTTTTTAGAGTTAAGTTTGCTTCGTCGTACTTACTTTTCTGACATTGTTAGTTCGAATACTTTCAGCATGAATGAACATTGATAGCAACATCTAGTCGAAGTATTTATTAAAATTGCGCTGTACAATGTAAGTGCCAGATTTATATGATCTTGAATAAAACATATTTTTACAACAAAATGTCGCTTTTTTATTTAATATCCTATAAATCTGGCGTTTCCTCTCATCCGATAGTCCTCGCTTTTTAAATACTGCTAATTTACCTTTAATACCTTTTTTTTTTTTTTTTTTTTTTGTTTTTTCATTAGCATTTCTCCAAGCAAAGTTTGAGGTTCAAATTTAATTTGGTTTATTTTTTCAGAGAGAGAATTTCCCATGGGATTAAAAAAAAAGTTATCTCAATGTTTCATTCATTTACAGACACTAATCAAATATCGAAATCCAAGTTACATCTGTTATTTTCACCTCGTTTCTTTTTGCATCTTTCAACTTGAACATATTCACGTCTCGAGGTGATCCGTGCATAAAACATGATTATATCATTTTCAGGACTCGAACGACCAAAACGAAGTGTCGAGCGATTTAAAGAACCCGTACAGAGTGCTAGTAGAGAAGTACCAAGCTTTGTTAGAAGTTCAAAGACGCTCGGCGCTCCGACGAAAGGACAGCGTGCCGACGCCGATGTCGTTGCAAGAGGAGTTAGAAATGTCAGGTGAATTTAACAGCTTTCAGAATCCTACGTCGGAGACGGAGAGTCAGCAAGAGCCGGCGAAATCGGCCGGCGTGAACGGCACACGTGCCAAAGCGGAGACATGCGGTAAGAAGGTATTTTCCGCTACGCCTACCGACTTCTCTGAGGCCGAGACTTCGTCGTCTGGATTCTCAGACGAGACGAGCAACAAAGCGACGCAAACAGAGGGAAGGCCCGGGTCGTTCCTCTGCTCGATCGCGGACGGCGAAGACTGCAAGTTCAGCATTTACGACGACAATAGCCCGTTCGAGAGTAGATTTAGGAAAACACCGGAGTACAGGCAACTGTTCAGCGAGATATTCAGCGTTTTGAAACGAGCGGCCGAGGCTAAAGACGAAGGGGAGAAATTACCACTGTTGGACGATTCCACGAGCACGAACACGAACACGTCGCAGCAGGAATCGTCGATCTTGCTGCAGGAGGATGTGCCAAGCGAGACTACAGACGATAATCAAAGCATCGCCTCTTCCATGTTCTCCTCCGCTGTGTCCGAGCCACCTTACAGGGTGCAGCCTCCTGTCACGTCAAACGGGATCAACGAGCAAGGGAATAAGGAGACGGTCGCGACCGCGCAGATGAAAACCAGAAACGATATCATCCGTGACACGAATCGCACGGATTACATAGCGTTTAACTATAAGAAGAAACTGTCAAAGAAGCATATTAGCAAAAAATTGACGTATAACGACAGACCAACGACGCCCGACGTGATTCCGACGACAAATCCCAAGCTCGTACCGTCGAAGTCGAACAGCGGTGGGAAAAAGAAGTTCAGGCCTTTCACGGCTGCCGATCAGAATAACGGCAGTATGTGTAACGGATACAGTTACGCGAACAGGACGAAAGAGTCGCCTAATTTTGGGAAACATTCGAACAACGTACATCAACGCAACAGCAACGATCAGCACAACAACAGTTTCGAGTACAGAGACTATAAGCCAAGCACAGCATCGGAGGAGGTCGCACGGCTGAAACGTTTAGAAATGTCTTATGCGGAAGTTCTTCGATTGCCAAATAAATCTAAACTGAGTAACCATCGTAGAAGTTAAAATATTCTTACGCGCGCGAACATCTTGGAACAAGGGGGAGGAGAAAAAAAAAAAAAAAAGACTTTTATACGTAAGATATAGTCAAGTGAGATTAAGTTTCGAAATTTTTTGAATTCAATGTCAAGCGAGTACTTAAACAGGACAGGATTTAAATTATGTATTTCAAAGGTAATCATTCAGTATTGATAATCAGTGCTACTTAAACATATTTTGTGAATATCTAAAAGAAGCGGTTATGCGTAAACATATGCACTAGGTACTAAACTATTTGACATTAATTTTTTTATTGTATTTTGTATCTTAATTGTATATGATTTTTTCATGTGAATGTGCGTGGGTAACAAAGGTACATAACGTTAATACATATATATATATGATTATATCGACAATGATATCTACAAGAGATTTATGAGCAAGATAAATCGAGTCGTGCCTCGCGAGTTTGTCTTTTCTTTAGAAATTGTAGATGTAAATCAGGAATAAAATTATTTATGTGCCATTTACCATGTCGAATTATAATCGTCAAACTATTCCAAATACTTGCTCGGACTTCCTTCCATAACGTAACACCTATTCCCAAAAGAACTCAGAAGTTAGTGCATTCCATCAATAACGTGTACAGAGTATTAGCTTTTATATTTCATAGCTATAAATTACAATAATATTGTGATCATCTTATATCGAGTAAATAAACTCTTGATCATAGTCATCATACTCTCTATCGCAATAACACCTAATTCCTTTCTCTATAACGTCTGTAAAAAGCCTTGTCGTTTTTTTTTCATTTATTGTTACGTTACGTAAAATACTTTGAAAAATCAGTGTATACTTCTGGAACATGTAACACCAGCATAATGCAATCGTTTCCTTTTTTTCTTCAGTTTTTGAAACTTCATTGACAACGAAGTATTAAAAATTCCTAAGTACTCGTTATTTTATTCGACTATATTAATTATACAATAAGCATTCTTGGATTTGTCGTTTACAGTAACATTCAATTCATTTACTATTACACTGATTTCATTCAATTGCAATATACAAATTAAAAATAAAATACGTGATACTTTATAAATACAAATTTTACTCGGAACTCCCTTTTTCATGCATTATACGTCTTTTTAATCTCTTGTTTTCTTTCTTATTTATCCCCCTCGTTTAGAAATATTTAGAATAAAAACTTTTGCCACTATATATGGCATTTAATTGATATTAAAATTGATTAAAATTGATACATTTGATTAAGAATCATCGAACAGTGCACGATGTACTGCACCTAAACTTGGTTGTACGTAACTTGAACTAACGCTTCTTCTGGATCTGTAATAACATATTTACTCGTTATTCAAGATTCACAATCATAGAAAATATAACAAAATCTTAAATACTTACTCTGTAAAAGACCTAACAGCTGGTCCGGTTGGATTATTTTTTGGTCGTGGATTTACAAGGAGACACTTCATAGGATGTCCATCTAATTGTCTATTGTGATAAGTTTCAACAGCTTTAGTAGCGTCCTTTAATGTTTTATAAATTACTTCCGCCGTACCTGGCCGTACTAATCGGGACACTAACAATTCTCCTACATCTTCAAATAATTCCTAAAATATACAAATATTTTTGTTAAGCTAATATTAAACACACTTAACGTTTTCTGATATCTGATGACCTTGATATCTTCTTGAGTGACATTCGCTTGCAAATTCGATACTACAATTCGAAAACCAGTTGACTGCGATGACGAACTTGTCTTAGTTCGAGGGACAACTCCCATATTTCGCGATTTACTTGGAACCGAGTCTAATCTTGATTTCACTCCGATGTCTCTATGACTTCTTGAATCGTAATACTTTGAATCTGGTGTATCCTCAGCTAATATAGTCCTATAAAAATAACATTAAAGTCAAATGTTATATATAACAGTTGAGAACATCAAAACTATATACCGTGATTTTGTGCCAAAACTCCAATCTTCTTTGTAGGAGGGAGAAGCAGATTTTGTCTGCAACCATCAATCAGAAATAGTTTAATAATTCACAATTGAAGAATTAACATTATAAACGGCATATAATAATAATAATTAGTAACGCAGTGTGTTACTAATAACAATTACCATAGGAAAACGTGTTACTACTTTATAATCTCTTGCTCTTTCGCGCTCTCGATCTTCATTGGATTTACGCGGAGGTACAATTCTTATTACATTACTGCTTGTTGGTTTTACCCATGTGTATGAAGTTGCTGGCTTAATACTGAATGCTGGAGGTGGTGGTGGTGGTGTAGGAGCATACTCATTGCTTACAGTCCTTCTTAAAGGTGCTGAATCCATCATATAATCTAATAAATATAATGGTATTAAGTAGTACTATATGTTATTCACTACAAGTTGTGTTAAGTATATCAATTTTCCATGTACCGTCAATAAAATCCATGTTCATATCTCCCATGTAATGAGATTCTGCAAGTGGTGGTGGCCTATAACCCACTGCTCTAGTAGGAGGTGGCATGTAATTATTTGGAATATTTGGTGGCACATTATGTGACATAATTGGGGGCATTCTATTGGTTGATAAAGACAGTCTTCCATTGCGACCTGTTTTTTGAGATATTCCAGGTATCTGAGCTTCTATCTTTTTAAACTGCGATGCACGAATCTTATCCAACTTTAATCTGGCATCGCTCTGTTTGGCAATTTCAGCAAGCTTATCTCTCGCATCTGTAAGCTTCTCTCGATTTTTTTGTATGATTTTAAATCTTGCATCAGTAATAACTTGTGAACCTCGCCCTCTCAACGAACCATTAGCACGTGCACCCCTGTTAATACCTCTTCGAACACTACATAAAAATTGACAAGAATTATAATTAATTTCATGCTCGTAATGTTTAATTTTTTTAAATGCAATATCGTACTAAGAGATATTGTTAATTATATAAACTATAATTAATTATTAATACACATAGATCAATCTGAGTAAGTTTTTTATAATAAATATTTGCAATATATATTTTTAAAACGAAATATTGAGAGAACATATATGAATAACGGCTATTTACAAAATCTTTGAAGGAAAGAGCCAAACATTTGTGACCGATTATGACAATTATGACTTTACATTTTAGAACAGCTTTCCATTTAGGATACATTTTTTCATTAATCGCAAATTATAAGGTAAACCTGCCGGGCCAACGAGATAACAGAAGAATTTATAAAAAAGGAACGTTGTCGAAGGAATGGAAAATCCCAAGAAATATTGCCAGACAATATTTTATGAGAGAAATTTTCTTTTTCGTAATTGCAGATTCGTTCCTTTAAGGTTATACAGAAATCGATAAGGTAGCAGCCACAATAGAGTGAAATTAATTATTGATTTCTGGGAATTATCTCACCCTCTGCTTCTGCTTCTCATTCCTGAGGATTTCGATCTTTTAATTATGTCATCTAAACTTAGGCCAACATCAGCCATACCGTAATAACTGCCCGAAACTGACGCGAATCATGGAACCGAAGATACACATACAAGCCACTTCAGGCCTAAAGGCGGACTTCTATGTAACAACGGACTACATTTAAGAAATCTCCTTTATGATGCATTACGTTTTTAAAAAACTTTGGAACGACACAAATATGAAACAAATAATGTGTAAAAAAAAAGGTACGCATAAATGGGAAAAGATTAATCAGTAATAAAAATATTATACAAATCATTTATACCGTTCTAAGTTGAAACATCCATTATTGATCTTCTCATACATGTATGTATACATATACATTTGCTTAATGCTATTATATGCATAAATTGTAGAAATCTTTAAGTGATATATTGCTATATTGTTGGTAAATTGATTTGATGGAAAAATCTATTTTTCTAAATTGCAATTTCTTCAACAAAAATTGTGCACAAATTAAATTTTCACTTTTGAACTGCTACAACTTTCTGAACGATCGCACAGTCGATTTAACCGGTATTGCTCTGAAGAATACGATTTTAATTTTACCTCGCTGAGCTCATTTTTCTAATAGGTTATTTCGCATCGAAAAGCAGAATGAACAAGTATCTTTGTAATAATTCATGCTTTCGTAGAAATTGGTATACGCAGTTCTATTGCCCTTCTAATAAAATATGTACTACTGGCACGAGACAAATCAAGATAAATAGCGGGAAGATTGCACGGTTTTATCATTTGTCTATATAAATACACGTACGTCCGTATCAACTGCAAAACCACCCTAAAACTTTCGATCTGTATAGATACAAAGTGTGAGGTGCAACGCAATAAAATCTACTCAGAATCATGCAAAATTAGACGCGGAAAATCGACGAGGATCCACGCTTGCCTTGTTGAAGTAAGTTGAAAATAAATGCACAATAAATAACTAACTTCAAAAAAGTAAAGTAACTCCCTTATCAATTTACTTTTCATAATTTCGAAGAGAAATTGGAAATATACTTTGGTTTTCGATATGGTGATATTACACGATGAAGAATACTATCGAAGTCGAATACCACAGCCTGATTTGGGACCTCTTAGAAACTTTTTGCGGTTCGTTTGGGATCACGATCGAAAAGCGTTTCTCGACAGAACAGCGAAAGAATGGGGTATAACAGTTTGCACATACATTGAGAATTACAACTTAACATACGTAGTTTGAAATAAATAAAATTTCATGGCCCAACTGAGGAAATTAGTGGCATTGCATTAATCTAGTTACAACCGGTTTTTTAGTACGGTTTACGTCATTAAATGTGTTAACATATATTTGAAATTCAGGTCAATTGGGAATGTTTTACCTGTGCTTCTTTTTCATTTTGGGATCGATATTTGCAATACAAATGAAGATCAGCATTGACTACGTTTCTAAACTGGACAGGCCATATTTTCAACACCCTGGCTTATCTTCAAATTCATTTTTTGGCGTGAGGGTGCGCCATTACCGTTCTACATTCGGAAGTCCAGGTATTAGTCATTAACGACATTTAAAACAAATAATTGCATTGAAAATTATCTGTAAGAATGAGAATCATAATGGTGTAAGTCGATTTGCTACTATCGTTGCAATATTCTGCGTTTATTATTATAAATACGTCACTGTATTCATAAGAATAAAGTAATGAAATAACTATGGGGAACGATACATTCAAAATTTGACATCGATCTGGATTCTTGGAGATTCTCATTTACACCACTGTAATTTTCAAGCCGCCATTTAACAAAGTAATTACCCGTGTAATTTTAAGTTAATTACAGAAGATATTAAATAAAATCTTTCTAAAAGGAATAGTTTTTAAGCCAAACAGCGTATTAGCTACATCACCCATTATTTCGGTGAATAATTCGACTAATACAAATAATAATAACGGACCGGAAAGGTACATCCGAGCGCTGTCTGATTTTTTGCAAGGTATTTATACAAAATATTTATATTACAATTTGCATACGTGGCGCGTTACTTAACTTATAACTAGACTGTGGATATTTATTTCATTTTCGACTCGGGTTTCGTCTCTAATTCTAATCAACTGTATATATTTTATACGTTGCACGCATTTTCGAACATTGTGCATACTTTGTACATTTTTTGCGCCTTCGAATTTTCTGTACACGCGCGGAAGTCAGCAGTCTATTTATAATATATTTTTTTTTTACTTTACTTTTCGCGTAACATTGTACGAGTCTTATTTCAGAGTATCGTAATAATACGTCCAATTACGATTTCAACTGCCTTAACCAACCTTCGAACATCGATCACAATAAAAAACCTTGCTTTTTCGATATAACGTCTCTTGGAAAATGTAGCAAGCCTCCATACGGATATGCAGAACTCTTGCAACCTTGCGTTCTCATTAAATTCAACAAGGTAAATTTCTCGTAAAAGAAATTTAAAAGCGCGAAAATACTCGAGAAATGTGAAGAAAAAGTGCATACGTATGTTGTAGAGGTTCGATTGGGTACCTGAATATTATAATCGTTCGTCGAATTTGCCGGAAAATATGCCGAGTGAATTAAAACAGGCAGTACAAAGGTCTCCGAAGGTATAATTTAGCATTTTATTTTTATAATAATATTTCTTTAAAATAAACGTACTTACTTTATGCAAGCCTCACATTTGGTTATCGTGCGACGGAGCGAATAACGTTGATAAAGAGCACATAGGAAAAATAGAATACATTCCACTTCCTGGATTTCCAGTTCAATATTTCCCGTTTACCGGACAACCAGGCTACCTGTCCCCTATTGTCGCATTAGAATTCAAAAATCTAACGCGTAAGTATCAAGCTTCCATTTGGCAAACTTGTGCACGTTACTTTCGCAAATTATTGCAGCGAACAGATTAGTAACAGTGGAATGTTATTTATGGGCTTACAATGTCGAGCAACGTTCCCGTTATTCGCTAGATTTCCAAATAATAATAGGTAAAACGAAAAGAAAAATGTTCGCTAACAATTTACTTATTTCTAACAATAAGATTCCTACAGAGAGTCAAAACTCATCGTACAATTACTAAGAGGAAATAAGGACAAAAATTGGTGTTCTGTTAAAAAAAAAAAGAAAGGTATATCTCAATTCAGTAGGAAGATAAAAGTGAACAAGAGTAAAAAAATTCGAAGAAAAAGTACGTGCAAAAAATAATTCCATTTTTGCCATTTAGTTGCAATATCGTTTGGCCTTCCACGTGTAACCATATGGGAAGATTCATTTCAATTTCAACGTGTGAAATCCAATTTACAATAAAGTGCGATCTACAGTATGCTTTTACATATCTTATGACGAGAAACACGTGAAATCGTGCGACCTTGACTGTTTCTGATCTATGATTGCATAATCTAAAAGATAAAATCTAATACCTTGCTATATAATTGCTATATATCATTTCAAAGAGAACGAGATACGATGCACGTTAATAAATCACCACTTAGAAATACATTGTGAATCAAATTGATGATAATGATTGAAAATACATAGTATGGAAAATTGGATGGTAAATTTAAATTGTAAATATATCTTTTGCCTTAAAAGATAATTTACTAATTCAGTAGCTCGTAAGTGATTATGGAAATTTGAACTCTCGAAGGGTATCGAAATGTAAATTTTAAAAGTCGTTGTCTGCGATAATATTATATTAATAGATCGCGCAAAATATTAAAAATTCATGTGACAATTTCCATAAATTTAGAGTGCATACAGGCATGTGCGACGTAACAGAAAATATTCGTTCCATGGTTTACTTGTCTACTTACCGTGTACCAAAAGATCAACGATCTGTAAGTGGTATTTTCCATAAACGGGGACATGCCACGATCCTATTACGAGCATCAATACAAGGACTTTCAAAGTTCGATTTATTTTCTTGTATCGGTTTCAAACTCAAGGAGAATCGTTCTGCCGCGGATGAAGATTTCTATCATTCTCAAGTTAATTGTATCAACACAAACAGGAAGTACAACACAAATTATAAACATCCGCAGTCCACTTATAAAATTTCATTGGTAATAATATTACAGTTTCAGTTCGTGAGAACCGTAAGAAGATACAAACACGATAAAGAAGTAAGAAGAACGGCAGTGTACGGCTAGTAAATAAAAAGAAAGAAGTAACTGAATAGCCACGAGTGATGGATGAAGAGCGACGTATTGATTTTCGATTCGTTTGACATTCAATACGTAACGAGTAAAATTCGTCCGATAAGATACGGTCAACGAGTGATTTAATCATGGTCAACTAATCGATTGATACGAAAATTGTTTCGTACACCCGGAGGAGTAAGTTCTTGTTGGCAGTTAGGTGTGAGTCAGCCATAAGGCGAGGAGCGCGTAGCCTCTCTGACATATCTTAGCATTTTCCCACTACTCGATCGGTAGACGTAGGACCGCGGCCGATCGTGGTCGCGCCACCGAGCTTTACTACACGCGGTATCGCTCAGCTCTCTGCGAGATAGCGAGAGCAGTGAGCTGTCTCAGCTCAAGCGGAGTGTAAACTCGCTCGACGACACCGAAGCGGAGCTTCTGATTTTTCGGTGCCGTCTTTCTCGCCGTCGTCTAACAAATCGAACTTTCGGACACTTCGTGTCGGGACGAGATCGTTCGATCAAAAGATCCGCGTGAAAGTCGATTGATAAAGTTTCGCGAGTGTGTTACGAGGACACAGCCACTCGAAATAAGCATGCCGGGCAAGCAATTGCAGAATGGTACATACGAGTTCGATTACAAACGAGTGCCGGAGCAAAAGTCGCGCTGGAAAGCTCTGCAAGATTTCTTTCACGATCCGGTAGAAGGCACTTACTGCGGCCACACGGGAAAGAAATGGGGTAATTATTCTCTGATAATTCAACGTTAGAGACTAGATGAGAGATTATTGAATGAACGATACGTTTGTACGGGCGCATGGATAGCATGTGCTTCGGGCTGTGCATAGACAAAAGTTTCAGCGTTTCGATCGAACACACTTGCACACTGCCGTTTCGACTCGTACTTTGAAAATTCATTTTCCCTCTTACCGTTGCGATTATTATTATTACGTGCGTTATTAGCTTTTTAAATGACAAATGATTGTTTGAAATTCTTACTCTCTGTGTCAGCGATGTAAGCGTGAAGTCGAGCTGAATGCCTAAATCAAGTACCGAGAATTAGGGCTTCCTTGACTTTGCTACATGCCAACGGGATGAACTCGCGGTATTCTCGGTTTTTGTTCGTAATCTTTCTTATCATAGTCTGACTATCTTATCCAAAAAAGAATGCAACTAGATTTAATACATTATATACGCGTAAATATACACATTTGTATATCGGTGAAAGTAAACTTTAAAATGACCTTCGTGTGTGTAATGTGTATTTGTGTCTCTGTTGTTTGGCAACAATAGGATGAAAGAACACGGGAAATAAGTATCGATGATATTAAAGAGCGATTAAAAGAAATCGTAAGGACTCGTAGGATCCGTGATAGCCCGTGTTAATTGAAAAATTGAGACAAAAAAACAACTTGTACTACGATAGTAATATTTATTTGTTATCAATGACACTGAAATTGCCGAGTGCTCTATATAAGACGCGATAAGAAATTAAGAATCATATTAATTGACCTTCCACGACGATATGAATTCTTCTATAAATCCTTCACTTTTAACAGTTCACAAAATTATAATTATAAAGGTTCATTATTTTATAACAACACTGTAAAGCAAATCAGATAGACAATGATAAATTTTTATGCATATTTAGAGTAGTTGAATGTCTGCAAATTTCCTTCGCTTTACTTTATCTGATTTCAAAGTTCCACGGTATGTTTGTTTGACTTCAAACTTCGTTGCATTTCAGTTAGCAAATACTAGAGAAACAGATAAAACAAAATTCTACAAATGTAGAATTTCTGTAAATGATAGGAAAACTGATTGTATAACACATATTGCAGAACATCTCAACAGTAAATATCATTCTTATCATTCATCAATTATCAATTAAATTATAATTATTGCTAGTAAATGTATAATTTATTATCCGATTAATATTTTGAGCGAGTATTTTATTTATAATGTATGATAAACGTACATTGATAAATCTTAGACATTCAAAAAGAAACTGGAAAATTTCTATGACAAAATTACGCAACCAATATACGAACTTTAAAATCTTAATTAATGCTTGGAATCAGCTAAGTATTTTTATGTTTCAAACATTATTCGTATATTATTTTATTTAAAAAAAATTATATTATTTATACATTAAATAAAAAACTGATAAATTTTGTTTTGACGTGCGAAATATGAACATTAATTAATAGTATGGATTTTTATTATGTTATAATGACTTATTATAATTTTAAAAAAAATTAATCGGTGCATTTATAAATTTGAGTAAGAAAATATCTGTTTTCAGCATCTACTTCGAAAACTGAATGGTTTATTCACAGAAGAAACATGTGTACTGTTCTTGAACATATATTTAACCGAATACGTAATCAAAACTGCATTAGAAATAACTGCATATTGGAATGTCAATACGTGACTAAAAAGTTACAGGTGATTTATAGAAAAATTTAGATATGCAATTCCATTTAATTTTAAAAACTCAAGTGAAATATTAGTATAGTCATAAATATGCAAATATGTTCTGTATCGTAAGCTTTCAAATTGAAAATTCCTATAATCTCTGTCATAAATCATTCAAAACCTAGGTAACGTGCTATGAAGATCTAGCAGTAGGATTAATATCGATACTACTCTATTTTTATTTTATCAGAGAATTAGCTGTAATTTTATGAAAACAGATTTATATGAACTTCTTTTTTTTATTTTTATCCATTTAGGTAGTGCCTTACAATATTTAATTTTGAAATTGAAAGTTACATTATATTGGTAACGAAACAATGCATTTGCCCTGAAAAACGATATTTAATCTTTAAATTTTACCGAAATTTTTCTCCGTGTGGAAAAGAGAAAGAGTGATGAGGGAAGAAAGTGAAGGAACAGGGGAGCGAGGAGAACAAAGAACAAGATTTATTAGAGCGGAAGTAACTTCTGTCACGATTTATTGATATTAATACTTCTAATGCCTCCTAATGTAATAACACTATAAATGTGACATACTTATAAAATCTGTTATAAAACATCACGTTGATAAATATCATTTACATCTGAAATCGATTTAATATCACACATTGGCAAATAAGGTTTTATTCAAACAATAATCACCTAAACGAATAATTTTGATTTTATCTTATCTCAACTTATTTCTTGTCATTCTCAATCATGTTTCAGCTATAATTTTTGTGTTACTATATCAAGGATATATTAATGAACAGGAAGAAAGTAAAGGCCAAAGCAATTTAAAGTATTTGAACACATGTATTTTCTCCACGTTATTAGCACGTACAACACTACGTGAATTGTCACACGGGTTTTCAGTGTCGACTGTCAGTCAACGAATAATGAATTGAGTTTATGAGAAATGGAAAAAAAAAATAGGAAGTTTTAACTACTAAAATTACCGAGAATCCGCTTTGTCAATTTGTATATACGTGCAGACACAGTAGCAGATGCAGTAAAAATTTCCAGCATCATCTCGTTCTCAAAGTAGAAAACAAGAATTACAAAACACGTATTTGAAAGACTAGTTTCCTTGTATAGTAACGTAACGTTGCGACATAAGGTCAACATCAATTTCGATACTGGTATATTCTCTCGAAATTATTGAAGCACTAATGAAGCATCAGATTTGCACAAAATATAAGCTTTATCAATTATATTTACAAATATTTCTAACGATTAAGTGAAACGTCGTGATCGAGTTTTACTCATTTGGTGTCATTCAACTGAAATGGAAACGTGTTTTGAATTGATAAATATTTCGTTATATGTGTGTGTGATCTACGTACTAATAGATATACGTATATTTCCTGTAGAACTAGTCAGACAACTATTATAAATATGGAATTCTCAGTTATATATTGTGACATCTTCAAATACTTGTATTTTATTTTAAAGTTAGTATTCTGAATTAAATGCGATATTTGAAGAGTAGCCTTTAACCGAACATTAACTATTAATTATCAGAATGATTAAATTGAAAAATATGTCTACACATAATTATATTGTTCTTAATATTAATAATTGGTACGTTCATATATACATACAAATTAACGCGAAATGCTATATGTAAACATATATATTGCAGATATCTGTTGCCTTTCTTTGCTAGGACAGCTGACAGATCATGCGGTTTATTAAAGTAGTTATCTATTGAACAAAATTTTAATTTTCACTTTTTATTACATTGCTCAAAATGATTAGGATACAAGAAATATAATATAAAAATCAATGTAACAGAAAAAATAGTAGTTTCAATTTAACTGAGAGAAGTATATTCGAACAATTGATTAAAATGCGACTTGAAAATGCAAAGCATCGAAGAAATTTAATCTTTTTTTTTCTTTTTTTACAGATTGCACTATCGTTACAACACATCTCTTAACACGTGATCTATTTTAGTTTTAACTGAGCAATTGCTTTTTTTTATCATGATAATTATATATTTGTTTCTCCAGAGGAGGTTAATATCAGATTTCTTTTTTCAAGAATGTTAGTCTTACGATTACGTTGTCGTAATAAAATTTTTATTGCGTGCAAAACTCGTGAAAGTGGGAATTTTCTAATACGTCCCTTTATAATTATTATTATATTATCAAAGTATTCAATGTTAATAGTACATCAAATTATATATCGAAAATCCGTTGAAATATTGTTTGCGAACAAGAAGCAGAAGTAACTATCATAGTGTATACTACTCTTAAAAAAAAGTATCTATATATAGACCGGACTTTGGCACGGTGCCCATGCTTTAAATAACTTTCCTTTCAATCGTTGAAATGGTGAAAATTTTCGAGGCCGCATATATTTTTATAATTGGCATATATAGAATTAAGGTTGTGTTACGCAAAATGGAATGGTAAAATTATCCCAAATAACTTGGACTTGCTTATTCCTATCAAAATATTATAAACTCATTTGAATAAAGTCGAAAACAGAAATTCGAGATTTTCTTGTTTAATTCATTGATTTTAATAATGAGCAGATGGATCGTTTAGTTAACAGATCTATTTTCTATTTTATTCCAGCGATCACTGGAATATTCTATACTTGCTTCTTCAGCGCGTTGGCCTTGCTCTTTGCTATTTGCATGAAAGGACTGTTAGCTACTCTAAATGATGAAAGACCAAGATGGATTCTGGAGGAAAGTATAATAGGAACAAATCCAGGTAAATTTATCGATTTTCTATTTCTACCATTCGCAAGTATTTGTATGAACAAACCTATAAACTATAATTCATAAAAGATCCCGTATCATGCCGGTCACTTGCACAAAAACCAACTAACAGACTTCGATAATTAAAAATAGTAAGTGTATCTTCAACGAGAGATATGTGTTAACAAAGTTAATAAAATGAAATATTTAAATTATCCTTAAATTTATTTCACTCGTTATTACACTGCTATTATACAACAAGTAACAATAGAATATTTTATTTGTTCATAGGTTTAGGATTTCGGCCGATTTCCGAGAACACTGATGAAAAATCGTTAATTTGGTACAGTTCGTCGGATCCTAATTCGGTGCAAAAATGGACAGGCCTGTTAGATAAATTTTTAGAAGGTAAATTATTATGACATATGTCGATAGTAAAATATATATTCAAATAAAATATATATTCAATCTTTTATTAATTTACCATTTAAATAAAATACTTGCACGTTAAAAAAAGAAAGAATTAATATTCTGTCATTATTAATTTCTGTAGAATATATTAACTCATCCATGTTACCAAATGGTGGCAGAAATCAACAGATTTGCAATTATAACACGCCAGTTAAACCTGGACATGTTTGTGCGGTTGAGGTGAACAACTGGGGACCTTGTTCGCCTAGTCAGCAATATGGTTTCAATAATTCAGCTCCTTGTATCTTCATTAAATTAAATAGGGTATGCTATGATTCTATCGCTTACTGATTTTACTGTATCGTAATTTCTATTTGTTATTAATTGATGAATATTTTATTTCTCAGATATATGGTTGGGTACCAGAATATTATAACAACACCGCAGATTTGCCAGAGAACATGCCACCAAGTCTTGTTGAACATATTAAATCAATCAACAGTTCATGGGTTAGTTAGTCGGTCAGTTAATTGTGTCAGTCGATATATTTAAAACGTATTTCAATAATACTGTATACTTAATAAGACGATTTTCATAATTTCATTTATATTTTATTTCATTTACAAACGTTTTAAAACAAAGATTACTCGGTATTATTTGAATACAGATAAAATTATAAAAATAATGTTGTCTACATATGAAATAAATATAGACAAATATTCAAGAACAAATTATATTTACAAATTATAGTACAGTATATTGTACAAATTTCTGTCTTTTGCAGTTGAATACCGTATGGGTGTCATGCGGAGGTGCAAATCCACACGACAATGAAGAAATCGGTGAATTGAACTACTATCCCAAAAATCAGGGATTTCCAGGATATTATTATCCTTATCAAAATATCCCTGGTTACTTAAGTCCTGTCATAGCTGTACATTTTCTTCGGCCAGCAAGTAAGTAAATTTTAATTCCTTGTAGCTGTCATTGTCAGAAAACATCTCTCACGTCTAAATCTTGAAGGTCTAAATCTTGAAATTCTTACTATTCAAACGTAATGATAAAATTCTAAAAAAAAAAAATCATTTTCAATGTTTCGATCATTTCATAACGAAATTCTAAATCTTGGAGTCTTAAAATTTCATTAATCTCCGAGTCACATGAAGAATGATCACTTTTCAGTTGTTGATCAAATAAGATCAAAGATCGTATACTCATATTTCATAAACTAGTTACTTAACATTGACCGACCTGCATATGTAGACGGTAAGCAAATGATACACTCGAGCTAAAACCAGTAAAATCCAGTGCATCGCGGCACAATATCGGTTATTAAAAGGTGTCATCGGCCAAACAGTTTTAAAATTACGTAAACATATTGTCTCGTCTCGCAACTGACTTCATTAGCCAATGTACTTTTTAATAAACAGCACTATATATTAGAATTATATTTATGAACAACTTGCTACAAAGTTCTTGCAACCTGTAGTATTTTAAGACACAAATAATGTGATATAAAAGCAAAACTGAAGACATTTTAAAATTTGGAAAATTCTAATGTTTCGATATACGAAGATTGCAGAAGAAGAACGTGACGTTTTTATAAAAGAAATAGTGAGTTCTGCAGAAAATGCTCAAAATAGTGAACAAATTTTATGTGCATTATTTAAAATTAAAATTTTTTATTTGATTTTTACATTAAATCTGTATTTAATCCATTTAAAATATAGATTGCTGTAAGTATTCTTATTAATTATAAATATTATTCTTCTTTTCCACTATGAATGACATTGAAATTCGAAAAATCGGCAAAGTAGATCTATTATATTTTTTTCTATGATCTTTTTTTTTAAACGCTTACTAAAATACTACCAATTACTTTTCAGGAAACAAAATAATCAATGTCGAATGTCGAGCTTGGGCAAAGAATATAAAACACATTTTAAATAAAGACCAGCAGCACGGCGTAGTACATTTCGAGCTTATGATTGACGAATGACGGCTCCTCTGTATTTGTACGAAGAAGAAAATAAAATTTCTTGCCTTCGGTTGCAATAGCATTTGCAGAATCTTGCAGACACCTAGAACGAAAGATATTTACATTGTAAATTTAAAAAAAAGAACAAATCGATAATATTCTATATTGACTATAAATATTAATTAAGAAATTATAATTTAGAGAAATACACTGAACGAGCAAACAGCAATTAGAAAATAGTCACTCAATCCGTAGAATTGGCTATCGCGTCAGTCCGTGATTACGTTTACTATTGAACGTTGACAAGTAGTGCTGCAAAATAAAATAATTATTAATCATTGACACTTATTATGAATTTAGATAAATCATTATCAATCATTTCATTAAACTGAGAGTTTCTAATTGTTTATATTTAGAGAGAGAATACGTAGCTGCTGGTACTTATTATAAATTAAATGATCTTGGAAAATCCAACTTTCTCTCGAAATGTCAACGAAGAAGAAAAGAAAATTATAATTTAAAATACATGAAATTTATATAATTAATGAAACTGTTCTATAACTTTGTTGATATTTATAATATCAATATGCGATCAAAACGCATTGTTTTAGAGCGTTTGTTTCCTTCATCTTCTTCATCATTTACCGCGAATATCAAGAAATAAGAGAAATGTTATTACCTCATTGTCTTTTGAATGTTGTTTATTTATATTGGATCGTGTACATAAACGTAATATATATTGCAAATAAATAATTTCTAAGTACTTTATTCATACATTAAGTCGAAAGAATTGAAATTGCTTTCGCTATATTTGAAAATCTACAAGAGTAAGTAAAATATATCATTTTCCTCTAATATTTGAAATATACATTGTTAACAAGCTCAAACACAAGAAATTAAAATTATCCTTTTGCGACTATTCAAGATTTAACAAAAGAAACCGAAGGAGAATATCAGGATCTCGAAGCTGCAACATTCAAATGAATTATTTGAAGTATTATACTTAGATGTAGGTACTTATTGAATATGTACTTATGTCATCTAGAGCGTTTCCCAAGTAAACTTGTTTAGAAAGTAGTTTAAGCTGATAGTAATAACGATGTATCCAACACAATAAATAAAAATAATTTTTGAAACTAAACAAATTCTAGATATTTAATTATATCGTACTTGATAAAATTTAGTAGAAAAATATAAGTATACAGATTAATTATATTCGATCACGGCACTTTAGAAATAAAAAAAAAAAGTATTTTTTCTTCTATAAAATGGTAGTTTATTTTTTGCACAAAATTGTAATATTCCCAAAATACGAAATTCACTTTAGTCTTATTATATATAGTATAACATAACAATTACATATATTTCTACGTTGATATATATTCGGGCATAAGTAATTAATTTGATGATGTTGATTTTTAATTATAAATATTTTCGAAAACGACTTATTCGCAATTCAAAATAGTAAAAAAAAATAACGAGTGAAATTTACAAATGTATTTACAAATATATTTAAACATTATTCCTATAAATATGCACATCTTCATTTCATATGTCTCGTAAGAAAATGTTTTTCAAAAATCATATCAAACTATTATTTTCAATGTAATGCTTTAGAAAAATAATAACACTAATCTGTCATGATTAGAATTAGATTGTCTATGACAATAGTTTATTGACTCGTTTTAATATTGAACAGTAAATGCAGTAATAAATTAAAATAGTTACAATATTTGAATTACAAACATAAAAATATTAACATTAACTAAGATCGAAATGAAGTTGAGTAAAATTTCATTTTTGTCATGTACATAGTCTTGTTAAAATAACTTATTATGTTATCAATAAAACAGATATTGAAGTCTTCTATTTCCAAATTTCTTTTTTTTAGTAAATGAATGACAAAAATCGGCCTTTTAAAAGAAAAAAAATCTTACCTATAAAAATATATGTATACAGATATAATACATTTACATACTTCAGAAGCAAAAAATATATATATATACAAAGATAAAATATATATTATAAATTATATATACATCTCATCTTTGTTACTTTATTTAAGAGATCTATTCTCAATAGATAAATTTTCGCGACACAAAATTTCCAAAATTTATAATATTTATGTATATAGCAACCTTAAGCAGTAATGTTCAATCCAATATCTTAACAATTTACGGTATATTCATTTGTTTTAAAACATTAAATATTTTCCATTAATGTTCTAGATATAACTCAAACTTTTTAATTTATGAAATTCAATTGATAAAAATGATTATTTAATTATAATCTGAAGTAAGACAACATTCGTATTGATTAATTACATAACTGAAAATATAACATAGAAACATTATATCCAGTTACAGCACTGAGAAAAAACGACTGTCTGCATTTATTATTAAAATATAATTTTAGAACACGTGATTATCGATAAAATAAGCTTATATTCACATATGATAAATATATACTTGTTTCCTCTTTGTAACTACATACTGTACTGGACGAAGTAAACACTTTAACCGTATGATTTTCTTCATACATTCTTTATCCTACAAAAACCGAACGAAAAATATAAAATCGTAGAACAATTTGGAATTTCATATTTTTTCTCGGTACGTATAAATTTCATAGAAATTAGACTTTTCATGCTACAAACATAAAAAATCCTTCCAGCTCTTTGTACTTGACAAATGTCCCTTCCACACTTTGGCAGCGGTCATCGATTTCTGACGGCCTCGCGAGCCGTTTCAAGAAAATGGTTCAGCTATGTGGAAGAATGAGAAAATATGAGATTCGCATTGCATTTCTGTACGCTAACAAAGGAGAAGTCAGAGAGAAATGTACATAGACGACGTTAATCTATCATCAATTCAAAATGGACTACACCCATTTTGTCGTTGCGGTTGTGTTTTATGTTTCTCGCCCACGCCCTGCACTCTACGTTTATTAAAATTCCAGCTGTAACAAAGTATAGTATTTCTTTTCATTCGGAAATATTACAAAAATTATGCTCTAACCACTTAACGCAGGTATCACACATTTCATCGTTTTACCACGAATCCAATAAAAAGACATATTATTGGTTTGGTTACTTTTGTGCGTTAAGGGTTAAAAACTCTTTGTCTATATATTTTTATGTGTCAACACTTACTGCGAGGTCGGACGAAGTGAACAGCTACCAAAGGACTGAGGTAGCCCTCGGAATTTTCAAACGGATAGAAATAACCGGGAAATCCTCTTCGTGGAATATATTCGATTGGTCCTATGTTTTCCTGATCTGCAGGATTCTCCCCTTCGCAGGATATCCAGATTGTGTTCAACTGGTGAGTATTCTTTAACCCGGTGATATGCTCCTTGAGATCGATCGGCATGGCTTGTGGCAACGTGTTTGTATCATTGTAGAACTCCGGCTTCCAACCGTATATCTAGAATAGACGATAGATATTAAACAGAGAAGGAGACATGTAAGGTAATTCAACATGGACAAGCACGGATGAGTAACAAAAATGAAAAAAAAACGTTGTTGAAGAAAATCAACGTTACCTTGTTAAGTTTCAAAAATATACACGGAGCGGATTTATGATAATTGTACTTGTTTTCTTTCGTGCAAGGATACCAGTTTTTAACATCAACGTCGCAAACTTTGCCAGGAGGAGGCGGCTGATTGTAGTCGCATTTATTTATGTTCGCACCAAGACCGGGAACTGAACCTGGCGTTATGTAATCTAAAAAAAAAAAGAGTCATTGATTGTCAATTCTGATTCTTCATTACACAATATCACTTATTGTTACTCTATATAATTATAAATTACGTAATGATATATAATCCAGTGTGTACCTTTCAGAAACGATTCTAGAGAATTGACCCAGAATTTGAAGTTCTCGCTATCAGTTCCCCTGTACCAGATTAGGGTACTTTCTACGTTGTCTAGCGGCGGCTGTGGCCTAAATCCTAGCCCTGTAAGTAAAGATGTTCAGTAACGTGTGACGACTACAGGAAGGAAAACTTGATAAGTACGCACATTTTTTTCTTTTTGTTAAAGTCTCTACTTTAATATCATTAAAAAGAAATACTGCAATATGAAGAACCAGCTAAGCTTGAAAATAGAAACCTTTCAAAAACAGATGACAAATTGACAAAGTTTTGTAAAAACTCAAAGCGATATTTGAATATTTTTGAAATTACAGAGAGTGAAAAGATCAATTAATAACTCATTTCTGATATTTTAAAATGATATTAAAATGGTAACTTATCATGTTTCACCTTGTATTGTTTATGTGCAAAAAATAAAAATATTCACGAGTAATTATTTTAAGCAATTTATTGATATTTTACCAGGATTTGTTCCGATTATTGAACGTTCTAATTGCCACCTCGGTATCCTTGGATCTAACGTTTGGAAGAAACCCCAGAAGCAGATTGCAACCAGCGCGGCCAGTACACCGTAGAATATCAAATAGAACAATCCTATTTTCCCTGGAAAACGAATTCTATTCTAGCTATGAGCTGTCGAGCTTAGGAAAGAGGATTGCAAAATATCCAAATAGTTTCTGGGATTGAAACGGAGCAATTAACTACACGACAGGCCGTTCAATCATACTCGTACATCCGAGTCTCGTTTTCCACATTTCCGTTTTCAATTTACACACATTTCCGTCCAATTTTTTTTCTTTTTTTCATAGTTCCACACAGCAAAGCATATCAAACTGGAGATTTGACTTAAATGTGATTTATATCTGGTAAGCAACGCAGAAGTGGAAAGATCTACATAATTTAAAAAAAAAGGTTTTGATCTTTTAATTTAAAATTCAAGTAATCTCAGTAGTTGAGCAGTTTCAGTAGTTTGAACTTAAGAAACTTAAATAATTCAAGAAAGTTTACTCGTTTTCATTCTAGGATGTTTGAACTTGAAGACCAGCCACAATTTAATTGGCCAAACAATTATAGATCAAGAACTAATAATTCTTTCCGACGTGGTGCCATCATCATCTTCGTTCGCTTTCGAGTAATAACGGCGAAACAACTTTATCGGATAGCAATAACTGGATAATAAGCTTTACAAGCGCAAAAGGGTTAAAGTTCTCTCGGTACCAAAATGGTACACACAAGAGGTCATTTCAGCGGAGACTGGAATCCGAGAAGCGACCTTGCGAGACATTGAATCGGTACATAATTGAATTGTTCCACTTGACCACACGCTTGGATCTTCCTTTGAATTGAGGCAACGATTAATGCAATTAACCTATATTACACGGCGTACCACCACGCGTCGATTAATTCCATTACATCTATCAGACGTCAGAATATCATAAAAATCATTGCCATTTAACTCTTGACATTTTTTCTGCTCGCGAGACACTGATTCTGTAACTGTAAATAGGTATGCACAAAGTACAACAGAATATATTCCTAAATTTTAATTTACATTTCCGCTGATAACTATCGTCAAATTTCCAAGATATTTTCCCGCTGTTTTTTAAGAAATACCTGGTGATTTAAAGGAAAAAAAAATTTATTCGGTCGACTGAAACGATACTAGCTCTCACGAAGAATATAGGATTTAGCCATCATTATCTTTTCTACTCGCGTAGATTTCCTAGACACGTCTGATGGATCAGAATTACGTAAATACGCGCAAAGTGTCAAAAAGTACATATATTCCTGAATTTTTATTTACAAATTCCGCCAACTATCATCAAATTTCCAAGATATTTTCCCATTGACTGAACCTCTTGTGCAAAATTGCAATATTTCCTCAGTTTTAAGTATAATGAAATATAACCCGGGCAAAGCAAATAATAAATTTATTACTTCTTAATTACTTCGTAATTTCTATCCAGTGATATACCAGTGATATACCGAATGAATTCAAAAAGAAGACGAATTATTGTACACGGTTTGGTCACTCGTTATGGTCCGCGAGCCAGTTACTAACGCAAGAGGTTAGACTTTTCCTAATACAGAAAAAAAAAAAAAAAAAGAAAAATTTGTTCGCTCGATTAAAAACGATATTAGCTCCCGCGAAGAATATAGGATTTAGCTTGCTATTGTGTAGATTTCAAGGGCAAAGGCAATAAATTTAGAACTTTTATTTCAGGAAGCCAACAAATAGGCAAAAACTGTCATGCGTAGAGCAGAGCTCTACCGCCGCGAGTTCTCGGCGGCAAATTTCGACACTGATTCTGGAAATTTTTGGGAAGATCGATGCTGAACGAAAGCTCATGGTACGGTCGCGTGGGTGTACCCTTCGGAATGGCCCTAAGTTACATAATGCCGTAATGCCTCCATTTAACGCCAATTGACCTCGTTGTACGCGTTTGCGCTAAAGGAAGTTTAACAATTGCCATTCAGCCGAGCAAACCGTTGTGTGTGCACCGCGAATTAGCCGCGCTTCGCGCTTCCGTCTTTTTCTCTCCCTTCCTTTTTTTCTTTTCTTTTTTTTTTCCTTCTTCCTTCCCTTCATTTCGGCCAAACCAATCAAGGGCACACGCGCGTGGCCCTCCCCCACCCAATCGATAAACACAACACACTAAGCAGCGTCAAGCTTGTTTCCTCTCCTGCTTGAAATAAGTCGACGTTCCTTCGTTTTATGCTCTACAATGTACGTACATAATTCCACGAACAATTAATTTAATTAAATTACGTTCATTTTGATTTTAAATGTCGATATCTTTGAATGCACGCATACGACTCGATGTACGATTGACATTTGTATTTGGTTGTTGGTTCAGCTTTGGAGATTCGAGATTCACCGAAGCGTTAAAAAAAAAGAAGGTTAAGCCGAGGAAAGAAAATCAATTGTACACCGAAGACGTTAAAATTGAAATAACAAATGTGTTGAAATTGAAATATTAATATTGTAATATTTTTGAGATTAACCAAGTTGAAATTGTCCCGAAAGTAAAAGAGGATTTGATACCGATAAGATTTCGCTAATAACATAAGCGTTGAAGTGTAAAAGAGAACCGATACGTGGATATTTCACGATGCGTAGATACGCAGCAGGAATTGTAAGCGGTCGAAGAGAACCGAGGAAACAATACAAGGGTGACACGGCGTTGAAGCTAGTTTCAAGGCTAGGATAAATCACAGGCGGGATATATATTTTAACAGTGCAATGCAATTTGCAAGAAAACTGCAAAACAACGACAAACAGGCTTCTGAGCTAATTAAACGAAAGAAGACGCAACCTCATGTGATTCTACCTCTCTCTATCTTTCTATGTTTTTTGTGGGTCTTCTATGTACTATTGAAACTGTTGCAGACGAACGATCATGGCGTGTGATGATTCTACAGATCATAAATAAATACCTTGTTTCAACTTTTACTATATACTACATTGTTAAATATTGGTAATACTGTATTGTTAAAAAATAAAATATATTGTTAAATAATATTGATAAAGAAAGATCAAAGTTACTGTTGAAAAAAATTTCAAATTTCTCTGACAAGTAATTTTCTCTTCTTACATATGATGTAAATTCGGCTAAATCTACACAAATTTGGACAATCTAGTTAAAATATATTGTTAGACAGGTGGTAGGATTTTCCATTAGTAGATAACATAGAAGAAGATCTTTATATCGAAAAACACAAGTTTATCTTTCTATTTCGATATGGTGCGCAACAATTGATGTTTTATGGTGTTCTATACCCTTCCATGGCGTGTATTTCTAACTGTTACCATGCCAACCTAATGATGGTAATCCTATATAAATTCACGATGGTTTATCACTTGTAAGAGACGAAATTTACAATCTTTTGTAATTTATTCAATACTATAGGGCTACTTTTATATCTTTTCAAAACTATATAGTGTCATTCTTAAAATATCAATTAAATATAGTTAATTATTGTCATGATTTATATTATATTATGTATGAAGAACGTAAAAAAAAAAAAAAATGAATTAAAGCAGAAGGAACCACCTTATTATAGTATCTGTCACAAAATATAGTGTATGTATAGTTTTTCGATCGATAAAACAGTAACAAATATTTCTCTCAAATGGAAATGATTTTTTCAACGAACCAACGCCGTCTAGCAAGTGAAACTTGTTGATTCTGTTGTTCACCTGATGCACTCTGTCCCTTTATCTCTGTTATTTTTCTAAATTTCATAGTTTCTACACGTAAGAAAGTAAAAATCTGTCCGTTGAATGAAGTAGCCATAGTACAAGCCTGTGTAGTAGCTATAGTACAGAACCTGTTGTCCCTATTCGCCTGGGAAAATGATTACCCAGAAAGATTAAAGATTCTTCCTAACTCTCCCGTTTCTTTCTCTATAAAATTACCAACAAAAGTACAAAACTATCGTTAAAAATATAAAGCTTGTTCTTTTATTATTATAATTAACGTTTTACATCTGATTCAACAGACGAACAAGCTTTTTACAAAAGCTGACCAACGCGTTTGACTTGTTGAAAGCGTTCTCTATTAAAAATTATGTACACCTCTGGATATACACATTCACTCTCATAAGCATGCATCGACGAACGTACAAACCAATGTTAAATAGTGTTAATTATTAATATTAATAATTTATTAATTTATATTAATATTATAAAACAATATTTGTTCATTGTCCACGTGCCAGTCGTCAACTTGTCAGAGATACAAATAATCGTACGTGTTACGTCCTCGCGAGTTGAAATCAATCGATAAATCGATATTGCTCCGATTTCAATCCGAAAAACAGATCGAGAACGACGATCGATCAACGATCAATACCGTGTCGTCGTGGCAACTTACCCCAGCTACTGGCTGTTCTGCCTAAAACCGCGCCGGTCTCGCGATTGTAAAAAAAATTTTTCAGAGACTGGCTGGTCGATATGCTCGGCGGCTTCAGATAGGGATTGGCCATCTCCGGCGTGACCATTTTCGAATCCTTGCTAACCATTCTCAAACGTTCCCAAGTGGAGAGTGATTCTCGCTTTAGTTTTACGTAATTTATTCACTGGTCACGTACTCGGAGATCCTCTGGTGGTATCTCTCCTCCTGCTCTCGGATTTCCGTGGGCACGGCGAAACGCACCAACAATCGACAGTTAAACGTGGAACAAACACGACCGACCAGCACACTCCGGACAGTTGGACTCGGTTGCACACCGAAACCGTGAGTTCCTCAAAGTCGGGCCAACAGTTTCTCCGCCGCCGACAGTTGGTCGTCCAGCGCCACCAGGTTGACTAAACACACTTCTGCCTGTGCCAGGCCTCTCCTCTGTCTCGTTCTCCGCTATTGTTGCTCCTTGCGACTTTCTCTTTCTCTCTGCCCCTACTCAGGCCCCCCACTATCGTCATCAAACCGTCCATTGCCATGACGTGTCTGATCGTGCACGTACACGAGGATCGTCCTGGTAGTTGTTATCCATCGTCGCCGATGTGTTGGACTTTATGGTGTGGTGGATCTAGCCTGAAGCGCTAGACTCTCATGGGAATTTTTTCTACGATTTTACCGAGCCTACGATTTGAATTTTCGAGCTTTCGTGTACACGTCCTCTTCACGAACGTTTTCGGAACGTTTGGTTTTAAGGATGGACGGTTTTGTACTCGGCGTAAGATGCAAGTTACCGCGATTATGGTATAATGTGGTAAGACGTCCTCTCGTATGCCACGCCTATAACACAATCTCTGTCTCTCTCCGTCTTTCCTTGCCTCTATCGTATTCAGGTTACAGCGAATTGAACAGGTTTTCGGCTGTTCAAACTGACGCGTATAAAGATTTCAACGCTTGGTCGTAACCTGATTGCGGTTGAATTACACCTGCAAATGCCTGGCACTTCTCTCGTCTGTGATGTACGTATTCCGGTATTGTTTTTAAAACTCGTGCAGTTGAGGAGTACCACCGAAATGAATGATTCCGATCAGGGAGAATGGAAACAATTTTGGCAGATCGTGTACAATGTAACTCTTGCCGTGATGATTCTTCAGTTTAATGTCATAAATCTCTGAAAAAGATCAGGTACATTGTCATCAGCAGTCGTTAATGTCGCTTGAGAGCAAGTACGAATATTTACGTTGCAAATTAAAAATGCAACTAACGGAGTTAATTAACGCCATACGTGGAGTTAATTAACGTCTTACGTATTTACGTGAATATCTAAAAATATGTGATCATACATCTACATATATAAATGAATATATTCGTTGAAACTTTTGTAAATTTCTAGCAGAGCGAAGGGAAAACGGCGTTTATGTTTATTTTTGTCGCCGTCAAAAGTGAAAGTAATCGAAGTTTAGTGGCGCGATCTACTGTTTATTTCTCAGACTTAACACAATTGCTTCTGAGAACAGGTGGTTTCTCTCGGATTATTCAGTTACCGTTCTACTTACGATTAAGCTTCTACTTAGGTAAATTCGATTTCACGACTTAAGTGTAAGCTTTTTACAATAACACGTAACAACAGTTTAAACGATTAATTACAAAATGTAATAAAGTAGTAAAGTAATTAAGAGAGAGAGAGAACAAATTGAACCAATAAAAACTAACGACATTGAATTAACCGTAACGAAGGAAAGCCAGTATTACATGAACTTCATTCCATTGTCATTCTACTAATAAGATGGTATTTCAGTGCATTTATTAATTGGAGTGTTTTCTATGTAAGTTTATATTTTTATGTAGGATTTTAATAAGTTTAGTAAGTTTAGTAGGATTTTTATTAGTAAAGTAAGTTTACATTTTTGAGAATAGGACTTTGCTAAGAAACTGCTTTACATTCCAAATATGTCGCAATACTAAGCAATTCTTCTATTACGTGTATTCTGTGCAATCTTGCACTTTAAAATTCCCTACAAATGTGTAAAAATCCATAGTCTAGTACAACTTTGCTATTTTTATCATTCTCGTCTAATTTTCACCAATTTAATAATAATTTTCATTGTTATATTTTTGAAGAAATTCGTTCACAATTGACAAAACAAACGATCTTCTATTTACTTTAATTTATCTTTCAGACGAATCTACGAACCAACGATGTATCTGCAATTTTCATTAAAAATATGAGTGGAAACGCCGAGTGGTAATAATTAACGTTAATACACCTGGTACGACACGGTCATTGAGTAGCCATCGCAATGAAGAAGGCTGCGAAAACGATTTCCTCGACTTGATCGTCGTGAAACAAATTGGGGGCTAAGGTCAAACCTCGTGTGTGTGACCTTAGTGCGTGGTGGCAGGCTCGTGTATGCGATTCACAGCACTACACTATTGGCAGTTACCTTCTCTCTCTCCTTTCGTCACTTTGAAGATGAGTCGCGCGCATGCACATAATGTGAGTCACACATGACGACCGATCTGAATTAATCACATCCTGCCCACTGTGTCATGTGACATTAATGTCATTGCCGTGTGTCGTCCGACTGAGAGAGGATCGGGTAAAATAAACGAAAAGAATCGCCTCGAACGCCTGGCCCTTCTGTTAATTGAATTTCTTTTGTAGACAGGTCCACGATACGGCATCTCGAAATGGACCTGAATGGATCAGTTGATAATTCAAAGTTGGAGGAGATAACCTACCGTTTCTAATTATTACTGTTAATCAGTAAAGGACAAAGAAGAAAAAATAATTATTACTGTTAATGATAGAGTCAAGTATGAAGTCTCATATTTAAAAAGAGAGCTGTTTGAGTTGCATGTCTTTTTGTCTTTTAATGAAATTCAGCATACGCTTGGATTTTTAAGATAACTTTAATTCAAAGCTTCAGCTTAAAATAATTTTATGTTATATGTTATGTCATATTTGACGACATTATTACAGCTCTTTTGTAATTTCCCTTGAAGTCGATGAATTGTTTTGAAAATTTTTCATCAATCATCACACAGTGTATGAGGCGGATTTTAACTTGAATTTAACTTAAGCTAGGAATAAGATATATTGAATTTAACTTAAGCTAGGAATAAGATACATTGTATCTAGCCTTGGTGTATAATATTATATACATCGCATTGCAAATTTGACTCTACGTAATTGTAAAATCTTCTTTGGACTCTGTATCATATATTAGATGCGAGAATGTTTATAAATTAATTCGGAATGACGAAAATTATGCATTAGTTTGCGATATTGATGCAGTCCAATAATGTAATATGAAATAATTATTGATTAAACAAATATTTATATCGAAAACTATGTGAAATTTATTGTGCATATTACTAACTAATATTTGTGAATAATTTTGACTGAAATTTTCAAAGTAGTTTCAAAGAAATGAAATATTTATCAAACGCGCATTTCGATCTATTTCAACAAAATTCGTAAATCATTATTTGTGAGTTTTATAAGTCAAATGGAACACGAAAAGAAAGTTGGTGATTTAATTTCGACAATACAATTGCAAAATTTTACCGATTAATTGTCTTAACTAGGTTTTTTCCAAATGAAAATTTAATTGATTTATGGACCTCAAAATACTAGCGCCGCGTAGCGGCAGAACAGTGGAACTAATGTATATTGCTGTCCTCCTTGCACACAAGTGCTTACCTTGTCTATTACACAACAGATATCTGTCCTTCTTGCACATTGTTGGGCTCCTTGTCTACGAAAAGAACAAGTGCTGCCATCTGTGAGAGGAAGGTTAAAACTATCTACCAGGAAGCGAAATGTGCCACCATCTATCGGATTTTTCCATTTTACCCTTTTAGTTCCAGTCAGTATTGAGAGGTGCTCAGATGGCAGCACCATCGTTAAAAAAGGAGCGCACTAATGCTCGACAAGGACAGACTTATGCAATACAACAGACAAGAAGCGCACTAGTGTGCGAGAGAGACAGCAATGTATTTTAATTCCACCGTTTCACCGCTACGTGACGCTAGCGTTTTAGGGTCCATGAAACGATTAAATTTTCATTTGCAAAAAGAACTGATTAAGGGAATCAATTTGCAAACTTTTGTAATTGAATTTTCGCTTTTAGTCCCGAGACTTTCTCCTCGTGTTTTACTCGACTTGTGTAATGCATAAACAAAAATTTACGAATTTCGTTCGATAGATCGAACCGCTCGCGGGAAAGATATTTAAATTCAAACAAGTTGTGAACCTGTAGTCTGAACTGTTTTTGAAAACTGTTGACGAGTATTGCAGTATTTGGAATTAATTTCGTAAGGCATTAAATTTTCATGTCAGTCAGAACGAAATATGCACTAAATCTCTGTTAATTTATTTTTTGACCTTTGAGTAAATTTTGTAAAATCTCAGAAAAGCGTGATCGCCTGTTCATCGAATTAATTGCTACGTCATCGCGTTGATGACTTTTCCAACAGCAACAGACAACTATGTAGCAATAAATCAAATTAATTTAATCCATTTTAAGCATCGTTAAGTATAATTTAGATAAAGAGCTCCGGCGAAACCGATTTTAACTTGTTATTCTGGCATTATCAAAAAGTACACACGCACTGGCGCTGTTTCATTATTACGCCAATGCCGACGCAACAGAAGTAAATAATGCTCACGCCGCAATGTTCTTAGGTTAGCAATTTTTATTTTGAAAATGAAAATGAAGATGTTTCTCAAAGTACGTTGATATAAGTGCAATTATTCTCAAACATTGTATTCTAGGCATTAAATTATTCTACAGCACTTTACATCTGCAAACAAACTGTATACGATCATTTTGCAGGGAAAATTAGCCGACAGTTAAATAATCGAAAATGAAAGTTCACTCAGGCGATCTCCAACGAAAGAAATCGCACTGTTCGTAACCAGGTGAATTAATTACAGCTTTTATTATTAACGGCATGATTATTCCCCGTTTCGTCCCCCGATTTTTGTAATCGTTTATGTATTTTAACACCCCCGTTTAATATTAATAATCATCCTCGAAGAGCAGTAATAAAAATAAAAAAAAAAAAAAAAAAAAAAAAAAATCGAAGGGGCTTTTATACATTCTGTTTATTTTTTTTTTTTTCTCTTTTTTTCATAACACATTTTCAAGCATAATGATATCAACAGCCATGCCGTGCCTCGTCTCCGTGTTATTATTGAATATTCATGCTTAAAGCTCCAGGTCGCCGCGGTGTCGAAGCGCCGCCGTTTCGAAATCAAGTTTTGGTGATGCCGCCAAACGAAAGCTCGCGCGCGTTGAAGGTTTCCCGAAGAAGAGGCAAAGATTCCTCTGAAATCGAACTCTCTCTCTCTCTCTCTCTCTCTCTCACTCTCTCCGCGTTGGCGTTCATCTAAATCTCTCTCGACAGCGAAACACGCGAACGTTAACAACGTTATTTCACACTGACAACCGATCCACCAATTCCAATTTTCAACCAAAAAGGGGGGGTTTTCACCCAAAGTTGCAAGCCGCGTACTCTCTCTTCGCTCTCTGTTCCTGATTTTCGATTTCATTTCTTGCTCACAGCAGGAATAAAAATTTGCAATCAATGACACAACACGCTTGCAAAAACCGTTTGAGAAGAACGATCGTTCTTCGTTCTTGTCGTCTCGTTCTATGATGACTGACTCTTGACACGATAAGCGCAGGTCGTGCAGTATCAACGATAATATTCTTAAACATTTAATAATCAATATCATCAGTAACTGGATCTGGATACATAACTTGCCGGCGGTTAATCGACAAACAACAAGCCTACCTACCTTCGTAGGTAGTACGAAGACCAGAAAGCAACGATAATCCGGGAAAACGACGAGAGAAATTTACAATGATATTTCGTACGCTATGCCTAAGCCTCGAGTCTTCGTAGTCTACTAGGTAAAAATCTTCGTCGCGAAACGTTTAAGCGTTCACGGTGTTTCTGTCTCGCATCGTCAGAACGGCGACGCGTTGTTTTTCTCATCTTTGGTGGATTTATTTATTTTCCCCTTTTGCCTTCCCTAATACGTAAAAACTCGCATGGAATATGAAAGGTAGATGCAATTCAAACGGGTGATATTATCCTGCCCTATCTCTTCTGACTCCTTATTGGTCTAATTTCATGCTCCTCGAGACATCAGCGTCGCGATGCTTAGTTAAATTCCCAGCTAGATCGAGAAGCAGAAGTTGCATTTTTTCTTTTTTTTTTCTTTTTTTTCTTGCAAAAGCCTCGACTTTTAAGATCAAGCTGATCGAGACACACTAGAAAGATCGAGCAGTTTTCGAGTTTTTTGCAAAGCAACTGATCGTCAAGATTTGTGAATCGGAGGGAAGCGAGATGGGGGGAACGTGAAGATGAATCTAACGTTAAGAACCAACGACACGGTGTCTCGACGTAGTGAATTTCATGTCACTCGTGTTTTGTTTTGTTCTTTCTTTCTCTTTTTTCTCTCTCTCTCTCTCTCTGATCATATATTTCGCATACATCACACATACTCGTTCGCTTTCCTTGTTCCATTTTCTCGACTTCTCGATACGACCTTAGTGTAACTCAATGGTCGGTATGTTCGTTCATCAAGTTTCTCTGTTCGTCGTGTTGTTTAATTGTATCCTACAACATGGACAAACCTTCGAAACGTGTCTTATATGGATATCGCCAGACAATTTCACGAATAGTTAATTATAATTAAACCGGTATGCATGCATAATAACGCGTTACAATGTACGGGAATCACGCTTAAAATTATTTCACTTACAATTTGTTAATTAATCGTCTTAATTGGAATACAACGAACGTTCTTATTGTGTTTTCTTTTCCCCCCCAAGGGATTTCGTTTTTTCCTCCTCTGCCCTCTTCAGCGTTCGCATTTCGTACACAGTATCGTCGAGTTCTGTCGAGTTTTCTCTTTTCTTTTTTTTATTTTTCTGTTTTTCTCTTTAACGTCCTCACTAACGTCTCACGGCTATATATTCAGGAATTATACGTTAGAATTATCTTTGGTAATTATTATCCCTTACGTGTTATTTATAATGCATACGTATATAATATATATAATATATATTATATATGTTATCGTTACTTTAAATGTATATATAATTTTATAATATATATATATATATATACATATAATTATATATATATAATTTTATATATAATTTTATAACATATATATATATATATATATATATATACTCCATGTGTATCTTTAAATATAATCTTAAAGCTTAAAATTCCGCCGCTGTTTTTGCTCTTCTTTTTTTTTCTTCTCTCTCTCTCTCTCGTCCTCCTCTTCTCGATTCTCTCATCAAAATTTTCATTCCACTCTCATACGCATACGTCTCTCTCACGTGCATACTCTCACAAGCGCTAAATTGAGTTAACGATTATCACACAGGAAACCACGTTTCCATGAAACAGAGAATCTGGATGAGTAAAGAGGATCCGGTAGCTTGCAGGATTATTTTAAGTAGCAGGGGGGCCGTGTTTCTCGTCGAGGACGTCACCATTTCCGATTTCGAAACGAAAGAAACGAACGTCCCGGTTACGGGCGAGCTATGAAACTTTAAGCATGATTTATTTAATAATTCCCATCGTACCTGATTCGCGGCTAGTTGCTTATCTTTTCCTCGGTACCAAGCTCTCTCTCTCTCTCTCTCTCTCTCTCTCTCGACTAGCGTTCCTTTTTTTTCTCTTTTTTTCTTTTTTTTTTTTTTTCTTTTTCTCTTTTGCATCTTCCTCGCGCTCGCGCGAAACGCAACTCATTACACTTTCGTTAACAACAGATGTTCATTATTAGAAACAGCTCATTCACAATGATGAATATACATATAATAATCGCTCTCGACTCGGTGCACTGGATACAAGTGTAATAATTCCTAATAGTACTTTATTACCGTCATATGCCGCGTAATTCATCATCGTTTTCACGTCATCGGTCATCCTTCTCTGTTTCTCTGCTCTTTCGCTTATCCACTCTCCTTCGTTCTTTTCTCTTCCTTCCTTCCTTCTTTCTTTTTTTTTTTTTCTCTTTTTCTCGTCTTAAAAGTTAATAGTGTCGTCGACGATTAATTCTATATTACGTTTTTTTTCGTTT